GAGAGAGAGAGAGAGAGAGAGAGAGGAGGGGGAAGGGGAGGGGGAAGGGGAGAGGGGGAGAGGTAGAGAGGTAGAGAGGTAGAGAGGTAGAGAGGGAGAGAGGTAGAGAGGTAGAGAGGGAGAGAGAGAGAGAGAGAGAGAGAGAGAGAAACTCCTCGGGGCGCAAGACTTCATCAATTCACCAGCGCCGAGTGTTTTAAATCGCTGGCGTTGGGAACACTTGCGAGATTAATTAGAATCCAGCTCGGTTTCTAATGCTGATGTTGGGGATGGTGGGTGTAGAGATGGTGGGGATGGTGGTAGTAGTGGTGGGGATGGAGGAGATGGTAGTGTAGTGGTAGTCGTGGTGTTGACTGGTAGTGGTGGTGGTGAAGGTGGAGGTCGAAGCGGAGGTGGTGATGGTAATCGATGGTGGTCGTGCTGCTGCTGATGATGATAATTACGATAATCAAGTTTGATAATGATGATGATGATGATGAAGATGATGATAACAACAATGACAATATTGAAAAAAAATAATAACAATAATGACAACAATAACGGTGATGACGATAAAGAGAGAACGGAAGGCCGCCATTCCTTAAAAGTGGCACCACCATTACAGCGCCTTTTTTACATGTCTCTGAATGGTAAATACGTCTGCCATTGTATTAATGTTTGACTTGTTCTCTGAAGCAGACGAGCGGCAGCCGAGGGCCATGACGGCTGTGTCTGCTCTGTGCGCGTGTGTGCATGGTGTGTGTGTGCGCGTGTGTGCATGGTGTGTGTGTGTGTGTGTGTGTGTGTGTGTGTGTGTGTGTGTGTGTGTGTGTGTGTGTGTGTGTGTGTGTGTGTGTGTGTGTGTGTGTGTGTGCGCGTGTGAGTGTGTGTGCGCGTGCGTGCGAGTTTAGATGTCGATGGCCATTTTTCTGTACCGTTTTTCGTTTCGTTTAATGTTATCATTATTATGACTGTTGTTATTATTAAAATTATGCTCGGTTTTATCCTCAGCATATACGTATTTATATTTCTACATCGTCACTGTTACTAATCTCACTCAATTATTGTTGTTATCAATGTTATTATCCTTATTTCCTTTGTCATTACCAACATTAGCATAGTTATCATTAGCATGAATAATATTAATTTCAATATTACTTTCATCATCACAAATACTAATATCATTGTTGTTACCATCCACCACTACTATAATTATTATTACCATTTAAAAAAACAAAAATACATTGTAATTCATAGGTCTACATACTGATAATTCAACCAAGATAATAATGATAATAATAATAATAATAATAATAATAAAATACTCCACTTGCCATTTCACTGACCTCATTAGCCACTGAGTAATTGGCATAGCCAGCATGTGAATCAATTGCACAATCCCATGTTTAAATGCCAATCAGTGTGTGTACAAATAATATCAAGCACTGAGCGTAAACTGAATGCCAAATAATGATGCCAAAATGTGCATATCAATAGCCGCAATTTGCGTTCACCAACTATTAATCAAGATGTCAGAAAATATTGCTATCATTGATAAAGCATTTATATTATAGTTGTCGGCTTGCTTGTATTATCCGAACATATATACCCCGATGCTGTCTAAAGTACATAGATATAATGATTGCATATCAAATGGCGTAATCCACCAAAGTATGCAGAGTACGGTGAAGTGGTAAGTATAAATATTCAAGCATGTAGACGGGAGTAAAGCAGTGTGTGTAATTAAGCACGTAAACCAACGGAGAGTGATATGTGCAAACCATCAGGTATGAGACCGAAGGCTAAGTAGCATATGTAAATCATCACCTGCATAAACCAAGACAAGGCAGCGCCTGCGAGTAAACATTTCTACCACGACAAAGAATTCCGTGTGAACAATCTCCGCAGCCGTAAAATTACACGGAACAGACGTCCGTGCCGTGCGCCCAAGGTCCTGGCGCAGCGCCCACGCAGCGCCTCGCCCGCGGCCCCGACGGTCCTCTCCGCCCTGATAGCGAGAGATTGAGACAGCTGTCAGGGCCCATCAGCACCAGCTAGAGGGCGCCTGGGGGAGCGCGCCATCTTGTATCCTTCGGCTGCTTTATGAGGTGTCGGCGCCCGGCCCATCGCGATGAAGTCATAAACCAATATTTACTGTTCCTCGCATCCGTGACAGAGAGCTCTCCATTTCTTCTGCGCCGCCGGAGGCTTCATCTTCTCTTTTATTACTCACGCGTTGCTATATCGCCTTCCTCCCTCTTCCGTTTTATTAATAAGCTCGTTTTCTCCTACGTGTTCTCATGCCTGATACTCCTTCCCTTTTCTCATCATTCCCTGCGCTAATTTCCATCTGTTATATATTTCATGTTATTTATTCTCATTTTCGCTTTTTTTCTAATTTAGTCCCAACAAATTCTATTCCTCATTTTCCTTCTTCTTTCTTCCATGATATCACATGGAACAACACTTCAGTGTCTGTACCGCCGTTACCCGTTTGACTATCATTCTGTCCGTCGACTTATCATAGTCTCTAACTCCCTTCCCACCTCTTGATCCAGGCAGATGTTATATGTACTTAATATATCCAAGGCTTCATACCAAACACTAAATCACAACACCGTAATTTACCATGACATTTTACTAGCATTATTATGATATAGCTACTCTGAGGTCACGCTACCTACCAGTGACAAAACAATGAAAAATGAGGGATCGTTTTACAGTGCCACATTAAGGGCTGATTTTGGCCTTGGTACTACTGATGCGAGTAGTACCAAGGGAGGGGGTCATAGTTGATAGATCGGTGAAGAGGAGAAGGGAGGGGGAAGGGATACGACGATGATATAACTTGTAAAGCGGGAGAGGAGAGAGAGGGGAGAGGGGAGAGAGGAGAGAAGAGAGAGAGAGAGAGGAGAGGGGAAAGGGGAGGGGGCGGGCTATGGTCCTAGAATAAGTTAACTTGAAGGACAGAGGGAGAGGTCACATTCCATGATGCAGGTTATTGGCAGGCTGGAGTGACACAGTGCCAATATTGGTGGCAACAGCATTCCAAGCATGACTCCAGGAGGTGCTACACTACCTCCATTATCATGGTAACACGGACACTAAATGGTGTTTCTACAGGGCAGTCAAAGGGCGACGCACGATAGAGGAAATGGAAAACAAATGCCTAAAGAGATGCTCTCCCTCCCTTCCTCCCTCCCTCTCTCTCTCTCTCTCTCTCTCTGTCCTCTTTCTCTCACGGGGTTAGCGGGGACAGCAATGATAGATGATAGATGAAAGAACGAGGGAGAGAGAGAGAGGAGGGAGGGGAGGGGAGGGGAGGGGAGGGGAGGGGAGGGGAGGGGGAGGGGGAGGGAGAGGAAGAGGGGGGGAGAGCGAGCGAGCGAGAGAAAGTCTGCGGGACTTACATTCGCATTTCACTACATACATTTCGTAAAATGCATTATTAGTTAAAACGCATTATTGACGTGAAAGGCATTCTTGGCTCCACAAATTAAATTCATTTGGATGTTCCAAAAGTAATTAAGTAATCTAATTCTATGGTATGGGTACGAATGGGATTAATTAAATTTAATGGGCATTGTTTGTCAGGAATAATTATTTCAAACCTGCATACAAAATGTGTCTATACTATTTTCTAAATATACTAAACTATAGTTATGGCTCTAATGAAATAAAAAAATACAAACTTCTTTCAGTAACAAAAAAAAAAAAAAAAGACATCATTACCGATTTCCACGAAAAAGCTTTTCAAAATACCAAACACGAGTCTAACTCACAAAAAAGTGTGTCAACAAAGAATTTCAAACGCATGCTGCTGTTTGATTTATGAATCGTGACATTTATCAATGATGCACCGATGTTTCAGTATTCCTATCGCACAATAACAAAATAAAGTTGCCCGCAGTTTTTGCTATAATACTTCTGAAATGTCATGTCAGATTGCGTAACGGCCACTTAATGTAGCATAAAGAGTTTGTTGCTCGTAATGGACACATGGTGCAGAAAGAAATGGAGCTGTTCTAAAACCTGAAACTACAGAAAGCAACGATTATGAGGCCTCGTGCCAAATAAAAAATAAATCTGGTTATTATGGGAATGAAAGTTAACGCATTTTTTTAGAACTGTGTTTTTTATTTATCACTCTTCTCTGTCTTTTCTCTTTCTCTTTCTCGCTCTCTCTCTCTCTCCCTTTCTCCTTCTCTCTCTGTCTCTCTCCCTCACCACTCTCTCTCACCTCCTCTTTCCCTCTCTCGCTGTCTCCCTCTCTCTCCCTCTTTCCCTCTCCTCCTCTTTCCCCCTCTCTCTTTTACTCCTGTGTGTTTGTGCTTTTACGTGTACTCTTGCGCGGGGGTCTACACACCCGTCTGCGTATGTGTGCGTGCGTTCGCGTGTGTGAGAGCGGGCGTGCGAGATGCGACGTGGCAGCCGGAAATCACGGTGCCACTCAAAGGGCGTCCCTCGGAGCAAGCGGTCAACGCGCGCCCGCAGGAGGGTCGTCACCGCAGTGGAGCCACCTATGATACACAGGCTAACGGTGTGTCGTATAGGCTATTCCCTTGTGTGGGAGATATGTTTGATCTCGAAAGATTTTGGACTTCGATTTCGGACTTTCTCTTTGGCTGTAAATCTGCCTGACTGTCTGTTCTATTGTGTATCTGTCTTTTCGTGGAACTTTATAGATGTGGCCCGACTAGTTTCTCGATCTAATCCATATGTCAGTGTGGGGGTGCGAGAGTGTGCACGCGTGTGAGGGCTGGAACTAACTACTAACAGAAACCCCGAATACAAATTACAAATACGCAGAGAAAAATAATTAACTGACAGCGCGCGCGGGAGACTGCGTTCGCACAAAAAAATCGAATCAACCACCAGACAGGCAGCCAGGGAATAAACAAGAACCAGACAACAACAATAAAATCACGAGCCAGCCTCAAGCCCCAGGAGAGCCTCGTCTAAGTCCCCGGCTCCTCCCGGCGGCCCTTCAGAGGCGCGTCCTTTGTCGCACACGACCTCACCTGATTCCTCCTCGAAAGCCCGGGAATGGTGACTGCCGAAGCCTCGCAGATCTGAAAAAAGACCGACTGAATTTTAATTCCGGATCGTCTGAAACGACGCTGTAAAGTGGTAATCAAAATGCTAATCCAATTCTACACTCAGTTGGCTCAGAATAGGAAATCATATGCTCAGTTTGCATAGGATTTTTTTTCTTTTTTAGGGGTGGGGGTTATTCAGTGCCATCTTGGTAATGCGCGGTGCATCTCCCTGTAATTTTCGCCATCTGAAAGCATTCCGCAGACATCCGACATAATACGAAAAACAGTAAATGTTATCAGAAAAAAATGTGCTGTAAATCATCTCAATGTATATCAGGTTATCAATAGACACGTATTATTAACCAAGTAATAATAAAGGAATGACGAAGTTGATTTCAGAGTAGCTGGTCAAGAACACATAGACAATAATACGTTAATGCTAATCAGAAAACAAAAAAATTCTTCTTTACCTCTTGCTTTTTTTCCTCCCTCTCTCCTTCCCTTTCTCTCTCTCGCTCTCTCTCTCTCTCCCTCCAACCCTCCTTCCCTCCATCTTCCTCTCTCTCTCTCTTGCACCCCCTCCCTCCCCTCCCCCCTCCCACTTCCACACTCCCTCCATCTTAGCCTGAAACCTGAAAGTCCTAATATGAATCTCTCTTGAAGTTGAAAGCCCTTAGACTTCCCGTGATATAATATTCATGAATAAAGCGATGGCATTTGTTTTTTTTTCTTTCTTCCTTTCTTTCCTTCCTTCTTTTCTTTCTTTCTTCTCTCTTTTTTTTCCCTCTCTCTCTTGCTTTATCACGAGCTCCCTGCCGCATATCATCCCGAAACGAAGGCGCCAGACCTCATCGTCTCCCCATTATACTTTATAGTAATGTGAAATCTCCGGAACAAGCTGGGAAGTGGAAGATTAAGGGGCGGCGAAAAAAAAAAAAAATGGCGGAGGATTCGAGATGGAAATGGGAAGGACGGGGAGGGAGGGAAGATGGAGGGAGGGAAGATGGAGGGAGGGAAGAAGGGAGGAAGGGAAGATGGGAGGAAGGGAAGATGGAGGGAGGGCAGAAGGGAGGAAGGGAAGAAGGGAGGGAGGGAAGATGGGAGGAAGGGAAGATGGAGGGAGGGCAGAAGGGAGGAAGGGAAGAAGGGAGGGAGGGAAGATGGAAGGAGGGAAGATGGAGGGAGGGCAGAAGGGAGGAAGGGAAGAAGGGAGGGAGGGAAGATGGAAGGAGGGAAGAAGGGAGGGAGGAAGAAGGGAGGGAGGGAAGAAGGAGGAAGGGAAGAAGGGAGGGAGGGAAGAAGGGAGGGAGGGAAGATGGAGGGAGGGAAGAAGGGAGGAAGGGAAGAAGGGAGGGAGGGAAGATGGAGGGAGGGAAGAAGGGAGGAAGGGAAGATGGAGGGAGGGAAGAAGGGAGGGAGGGAAGTAGGAAGTGAGAGGAAGGGAGAGAGGGAGGGAGGGAAGAAGGGAAGGGCGAAGGTGAGGATGGGAGAGTGAAAGTGAGGATGAGGGAAAGGGTGATGGCGAGGGAGACGGAGAGAGAAGTGAGGGAGAAAGGAAGAGCGATGGTCGATGTTAAAAATAAAGCTAAAATTACAGTGACTCGGTTCCTACAAGGATTAACTCAAGGAACTCTCTCTCTCTCTCTCTCTCTCTCTCTCTCTCTCTCTCTCTCTCTCTCTCTCTCTCTCTCTCTCATCTCACGCTCATTTTCTAATCTCCTCTCTATATTCCTCACATTTCCCTTCTCTCATTCACTCCCTGCTCTCCCCTTTCACCCATACTAAATAAAGACGTGCATTCCTACGCCCCTCCGCCCCGCCCCCCCCTCCCTACCCCGTTACCCAACCCCGGCCCTCATCCCCAACTCCCCCCCCCCCATCTCCTACATAGTTATTCCTTGCAATCATCCTACTGTTTTCTCCTTGCCACATTCCTAGGATAACACCCCCTCTCCCTTGCCCCCCACCACCCTATATCCACTTTGACCCCCCCCAACCTTACCTCTGACCCAACCGTCTTACCTTCCACCCACCTCAACACCCCCCCCCCCACCCCTACGTACACCTCACCCAAACCATCCTATCTTTCAACCCCCCCTACCACCTCCCCTCCCACTCCCAACCACCCTTTTCCACCGCCACCTCTCCACCTCCACCACCCTCCCTCCACCCCCACCACCCTCCCTCCACCCCTCCCCTCATGGCCCTTTCCCCCTCATCAACCCCCGACAACAACCTCACAACGCGTGCCTCGGTCTCACGCCTCATGTGCACTCGGGTCATAAGCCTCGCAACTGTCTCCGGCATGACGAAAACACGCTCGAAAACAGCTTTCCATTAAACGCGGGTTGTGTTTCGGTGATCCCGTTCTGGGCGGGCGAGTGAGGAAGAGGGGAGGAAGGGGAGACAGATAAAGAAGAGGAATGGGAGGAAGAGAGGGAGGTGGAGAGAGAGCAAAGGAGTGGGAAAGAAGGGCCAGAGGAGGGAAAGAGGAAGATGGGAGTAGAGTAAAGAAGACAATAGGGAGGAAGAGAGGGAGGTGGAGAGAGAGAGTAAAGGAGTGGAAATGAGGGCCAGAGGAATGGAAATACAATGAAGGAAATGAAATGAAGGAAGAGAAGAAGGTGGAATGAGAGTAAAGGAGAGGGTAAGGAGGCCCAGAGAAATATAGGAATAAAGTAAAGGCGAAGAAAAGGCAGGGCAGAGGGTGGTGTGAGAAATATAAGTATAAAGGGGAGAGAGGAATGGAGAAGGGAAAGTGAAAGTAGGAACAGAGTGAAGAACAAAAATGAATTGCAAGATGGGAACTGAGCAACGGAGAAGAAAAGGAGTATCAGAGAAGGAAGAGCAAAATATGATAATAGAGAAAAGGGTGAAGTAGAGAGAAAGAAGGAAAAAACAAATTAGAAAAGGGCGTGAGAGGGAAGGGAATAAATTAATTAAAAGAGAAAAAAAAATGGATAGAGAAATAGAGGAGAAAAGAACAACCAGAAAAGGGTGAGAGGTGGGAACAGAGAAAAGAAGAGGGAAGAGAAGACCAGGGAAGGAGAGAGAAAGGAGGAAACAGATCAAAGAAGAAGAAAGGGAGGACCAAGAGCAGGGGGACAGAAAAATAAGAACAGAGAAAAGGAGATGCAAGAGAAAACCCAAGCTAAAGAAAAAATAAAAGGAAATAGATGAAAAGAGACGCACAGGAGAACCACACGAACGAGAGCAGAAGACAAGAAACAGAATAAAGGTGGCAAAGAGGGGATCCTGAGGAGGGAGATAAGGCACACGAGAGAAAGGACCCGATGCATACAGCGAAATCCTTTACCGAACTTGGCGACCGCAGCGTGAATGCATCTCCGGCGGCAATACAGCGTTACCTGGGCGGAATTTCATCAAGGGCAGGCCAGTTCGCGAACATATCGAGTTTATGGGAAAGCGGCGAGAGAAAAGACGAAAAATGTAGGATAGCAATAGGGAAGTGGAGAGAGAGAGAAAGAGATGGATGGAATAGAGGGAAAGGATGCATGTGTGTGTATGCACGACTAGTAATACGAATGTACATGCATACATACATGTGTATGTATATATATATGTATGTATATGTATATGTATGTGTATATATGTATATATGTGTATATATATATATATATATATATATATATATATATATATATATATATATATATATATATATATATACATACATATATATATTCATATATACATATATTTATGTATACATATATTCATATATACATATACATGTGTGTACACATACATACACACACACACAAATATATACGCATACATAGGCCTATACATGCACCCCACACACCTCTACACCTGCACATACTCGTATGTGTGTCTCCAGTTTTACAGTTTGTGGTGTGTGTGTGTGTGTGTGTGTGTGTGTGTGTGTGTGTGTGTGTGTGTGTGTGTGTGTGTGTGTGTGTGTGTGTGTGTGTGTGTGTGTGTGTGTGACAGACAGAGACAAAAATAGCGAGAATAGGATAATCCGCACACAGCTAACAAATCGCACTTAGCCAGCCAAACAAAGGCTTCCCAGCCGGGGCGGGAAGCGGGCGGGCGCGGGAGCCTCAGCGCGGCGATGTTTCCAATATGTGCCTCCAGAAGGGGATCTATTCAGCGCCAAGTGTGCAGCGGAGCAATTAGGGGAGATGCGTCGCGGGAATGGAAGCCACTATCACTCTTTGGGGAATTCCGAAGTGGAACAAAAGAGCGCCCAACTGCCGCCGACACTCCCGAGCTCCTGAAGCGCCTCGCCCGCGCCGCGAATGCGAAGTATCAAGTGGAAGGAAAACGGGCATGGGGGGTGGGGGGATGCAGAAGCTCAAGGGCGGCTGCTCCTTCTGCCTCGGGTTAGCGATCGGGCTTTATGCTACAAACACGCACACTCAGTGTGTGTGTGTGTGTGTGTGTGTGTGTGTGTGTGTGGTAAAAACAAGAAAAAAAAAACAAATAAAAAATAATGCATATGTAAGTATGTATGTATGTGAATATAAACACACACACACACATATATATATATCTTATATATAGACATATACATACATACATACATATATATATATATATATATATATATATATATATATATATATATATATATATATATATAAATATATATATATATATATATATATATACAATATATATATATATATATATATATATATATATATATATATATATATATATATATATATATATATATATATATATATACATATATATATATATATATATATATATATATATATATATATATATATATATATATATATATATATATATATGAACACACACACATATAAACATATACACAGAGATAGCGAGAGAGAGCGAGAGCGAGAGCGAGAGAGAGAGCGAGAGAGAGAGAGAGAGAGAGAGAGAGAGAGAGAGAGAGAGAGAGAGAGAGAGAGAGAGAGAGAGAGAGAGAGAGAGAGAGAGAGAGAGAGCGAGCAAGGCAAGTCGACTTTTTGAGCCCAAAAGCCTACGTTACGCCATTCTTTAGTACTCGT